GGTTGACGAATGAATGATAGGTGACTCTAATGTCCCCGTATATGACCGGGAAGGTCACTGCTGTGGACGAATGTGTGCGGGCACGACATGAGCATGAATGGTGGGGAGTATTTTAGTGGTCGCCTTCGTGCATGCACACGTAAACAGATAAGCCCCTGAATTTGCGGACACCGAGTAGACGGGGAAGGCATGCGTGACCAGGATGGAATCGCGCAGTTTAAATGTGTAGCTACAACGGGGACAAACTAGCACAAAATATACTCTGCTGATGGTCGTCATCCGCGTCTTATCTAATATGTTGCTCGGTCAGGATGAACAGAGAATCAATGGTGGAAATATGAAATCCGAAATTTCGGATACAGCCTTGCGTTCAGCTATAGACAAGCACGGATGGAAAAGGAATTACGTGAGCCTTATGTTGCTCCAGTGGATTCAGGGCATCGTGTGGACCCTACTGAAGCATTTCGTGTGATTTATAAGATCCTTTCGAACTACCCTAAGCTACTGGGCCAGCGCCTGATAGCAACAGCAGAAGCGGCCGCCATCAGGTTACGAAAACCGACCCAATGCACCCAGAAGAACTTCGTTCAGACTCCGCGCTTACCGTGGTCAAAGGCTGACTAACCACACACAACTTTCTGCGCCCTTCCGCTCTTGCCTAGCTTGTAACTTAAAGCCTAACTTTTATCGATTTTTTTCACTCAAGGTACCCCCGTCCCATATAACTGTACTGGCCTGACGAGAAGTTGTCGAAAGCAACGTCCACTCGCCACCATTTCTTCTGAATATAGCTATGGTGATTTTCACAACTCTGAACTAAAATAATCCATGATGGGGCAGGTTTCAGAAAAAAACGGGGCTATTTTGTTCAAACCATCTGCGAAAATAATTTCCTGACAATCTGGTGTGGATTCGATGATGCCCCCTTAGGTAAAAGGAGCATTAGGGTGTTCCGCAAGGGCTGCAATAATGCAGACATTGTCATTATTAGCAGATCTCTCCATGCCGATTATTTTTATTTGTCGATCTTCCTACCAATACTAGGCTTGCATGAGTGGCGATGGTGAAAAAACCTCCAAGACCTCGGGAAAAAATGAGGTGAACGTCTTCAAAGCACTATACTCACCCCTTTCACCAGCTGACGAAGTAAATAAAGGCAAAACAGGTTTTTTGAGACAGCCTCCGGCACCTTAGCCAGCGCCTATATCAGAACTACCACTATCCAGAGGGTCCAGCGGTGACATGTGAATGAGTTTAACTACAGTGGAGAGGCTTACACAACAACTATCCCACTCTCTCTTTCTACCCCCAGAGTTCTGTGAATGCATTGGGTAGTTGTAGGAGGAGAAGGAGGAGAAGGAGGAGGAGGAGGAGGAGGAGGAGGAGGAGGGGCGTCGCATCATTCTCACTCGCTCCTTCCACTGCTCGTCGCGTTTTGGCTGCGAAACTAGAGCAAAGCGCCTGGAAATAAAATTGCGGCCTGCGGTTAACCGAGATGTGCATGCCTGAAGTTGCTTTTGTCTCCTCTCTTTTCAAGTAGTCAGAGTTGCGGAGAATGCTGATCCTGAACAGAGAACTGTTCGTTTTCAAAATGGAACACTCGATTTCTTGACTATTTAAAAAGAGGAGAATCAACAATGATCCGGAGAAGGTGCAGCCTTAACTTGAGCATGGAATCCTTTTTAATGAAACGTACTCGCCTGGCTTCTACGTCATTAGCCTTACAATCATTATGCTTCATCTGGAAGCCAGACTAGAGCCCCTATACGCATGCTACACACGACTTAGATCATAAATTCGAATGAATTTGTCTCCAAGGAGAGAAGAGGTCGCAGATCGCATAAATTAGAGTGCCATAAAGGTCATATCAAACAGGAGCCCTTGCAGCCTGGCCCTATTTCCGAGGGGAAACCAAGTTATCCTGTTAGTTTGTGTGCTTCCTGCCGTGGCTATTAGCGCATTAAAATAGGAAACGGCGCATCAGGTGTACTGAGATGGAGAAGTTATGGGATGGATAAGCATGAAGAAGACACACACACAAGGTCTACCTCGGTCTCCCTTCTACCTCACACCGTATGCTAGTGACATGTCCCAGTCAAGCCGAATGGAGTTGAGATCAGGTGCGGTGACCGACGTGATATGAAGGTCCCGTCTAGCGCTTGCTAGAGACCTGTGGCACCCCTGTCCGGCTCTAACACGACCGTCAATCTGATTCATTTTTGTGCCGTAGGCGTTAATGAAAAGACGGAAATTTGCGTGCACGGTCCCCTAGCTTTCCGAACCTGACTACATTTTCCGGTTTCCTCCTAGGCACGAAAAATGCAAGTTTAACCTGGAATTCATGCACCCACCTTTATTGTTACCAGAGGAAGCCTGAGAAGGAAAAAAAGACACAACTGTTTCTTATCATCTGTCGTGAAAATCCCTAATAGCATAAAAGCCCAGTTATTTTAAATTAGGACAAACAGGCTGGCTCAGTTACTTACCAAATCGGATATGATAGACTCTGGAAGGACGTAGACAGAATGTGAGAGGCAGGGAGATAACTGTTAGGGTATCCAACACGGCACCACAACGCAGTAGTCGGTAGTTAGTGTTCAAGGCGTTGTAAACCTCCCAAGAGATCCAC